AGAGGCTGCCGGTACACGTTAAACACCTGACCACCGTCCTTGTCCTCTCCTGGTCTCGTCAGCACCAACACCAGCTCAAATAGGAACACATGCAGCCGCTGACGGGGGACAAGTGATCAAGAGAAATGTGCTGACACAGTTTCTAAGGCAGAGAAGCCAACTTTCTAGCACTCAAATCTGAACAGCCAACATCTTCTGCCCTCCTTAAATGACTTTAGCCTCTTCATTTGGATTCTGAAAGTGTGAAGACCAGTAAACAACATCTACCTGGCCCTTATTGTTCTTGAGTTCTCCATGGCAGTAGATGAAGCGGGACTGCTGGATCTCTGGCACTCTCTGGCCCTCTTCGAGGTAGGACAGGCCCCGCCTGTAGAACTGACACTCTGCTTCCCCCGTCTTTTTATTCACCTCTGCCACAATGCTCTGGATCAACTCCAACTGAACAGAACCAAGACTTTTTAATATGTCATCAACACCTTTTCCTCCTGTTGCTTCTTGTAGGGCTAAAATTCTGGGCTGGAGCCAAGAGAGTATGACTATGAATATTTAGAACATATTTAAATGAGTGGTTTGGTGTGATAATTTGTTTAGTCAACAGTATCCTCTTTCAAACGCCATCAAAGGAAACTTTAAAGAGACTGCAGGCATCTTAAATGCAGCACTAACTGCGGAGTTTTTATTTGCTTTTGCAAACTGTAAATGTAAAAGTGATGAGCCAGATTAGTGAATATACTGGTAAGAATTAATAACTGGCCTTGTTGCCATCTGGAGGCACTGTTGTGCAACGCAGGGAAGGAAATACTGTATTTTAACGTACTTGAAGACTGATGGATAGAAATGTGTGAATATTAATAATTTGGATTTACAGCATCTGATGCAACAAAAGAGGATGCTTTACTAGACTGTAAAAATAAAACTAATCAGTGTTATAATTATAGGCTTTATATTTAAAAGCAACACCTTACAACCATCTTGATAAGTGTGGATTTCAGTATTTTGCAGCTGCTGCAGACCTGGCACTGATTAAACTGTGAATCCTCTCACATGCTTGCAGATGTAAATGATTGTGTAGGAGCCCGACTCACAGCATCCGGCAGCGTGTCTTCATCTGGGTGGTCTGGCGGAGTGCACTTCTGTATCTCTTTCAACAGCAGAGGGTACTTGACCAAACGGCTCCGAGGAAGATCCAGGAAGTTCCACAGGTCCAGTTTCCTGCTGAACGAGGACTCCTGACACAGACGCAGAAAGTGCTCCACTCTTTTCTCGTGCTTTTTCTGGTCCAGCAAAGCTTTGGCTCCCACCTGGTTACAGCAATATGTAACATACGCCTCCAGGCAAGGAAACTGCAGAGAGAAGCATGGGAAGAGTGCGCAGCAGTGAGATAAGAAGGTGAAGTCAGCAGGAAAAGAAAGATGGAAACATGCATAAAGACAGAAGTTAGATTACGTTAAGATTAAGAAGGAAAATCAGAGAGAAGCTGAAGGCTGACGTTTCTTCTCTCACTCACCCAGTGCATTAAAGTTGGCCCCACCTCTCCAACCGTTTTCTCTGATCCTCTCAGTCGCTCGAGACGAGTCAGCAGATCTGATATGAATTAAAAGAAAACAGGATACTCCAAGTTGTGCTGACCTTATTTCACTACAGCTCAAAAACAAGTAGTGTGCATAAAAATACGGCACTTCTAAAAAAACTAATTAAAAAAATACAACTTCCCATTTTATGAAGTTTGTTTTCAGGGCTGGGCAGTGTAGAAGCTTTTATTTCTTTTTTAATGAGCCTTTAATTCAAATTATACCTAGATAACATGTAGTACATGGTATGAGCTGCAAAACTACTTTACCTGCTCCTGTTTACTTGTAACTATTTCAGATTGTGATGTAATTACACTGAACTGCAACAACCTATACTTTATCAAGACTTCACCTCATTGCCTGAATTTCATATTCAGGAAATGAGCTGGCGTGTTGATGCATAAGTGGAGCTCGAGATAGCAGCACAAGCTGCACAAAAACAAAGTTACCTTGATGGAGGGGGATGAGTGAGTCCAGAGTACCGAAGATCTGTCCAAGCTCACTCTCTGTCATTATGTCCAACTTCAACATGGGCTCATAGTACACCTGGGAACAGACCCGGGCAGTTAGCACATGAAAGCCTGCATGTAAGTGGATTAAATGTGTTGTTCAGGTTGAGCAGCTACCTTCTTAACCAAACTGAGGTCCTCTATGAGCTGTCTCTCTCCTTGGGTTAGCTCGTATATGACCTGCAGGGCATTTAAAATAGTTAACCAATGCGCACGTTATTGCCAGTGTGATAACAAAGATATCGGCACACGCACACACACACACACACACACGCACACACTGTGTGTTGAGTTGCATAAGAAGTCAGTTAAATAGACAACACGAGCTCTCACAGCTGATTGTTCAATAAAGGAAGTTGAGCCTTCAGTGCCAGCTCACATCCTCTTTCATAATACCCATGAAGAGCAGCTTCACAGAAATGAAGAGTAGGTACAAGTTACTCCGCCTACACGGCAACCACAGCCACACAACTTGACCCATATACAGGCCCCCAAACACATTCTGCTATAGTAACAAGGTATTTTAATAACGAGGTTTTTGTTTAGCGCACCTCTTGCCGTTTGATTTCCTTTGCAGTCAGATCGTGACTTTCCACAGTGTCACTCCAACACTGGCTGTTGCGGCGACGTGGAAACGAGGAGGCCTTTGTCCGTGAACGCAGGGGGGCTGTGGGCAAAGGTCGAGCTTCTGTACGAAAACTAATAGACCGCTGAGAACAGAGAGGAGCAGCTGACTGTTATACAAAACCCCAAAACTCATTCACTGGTCACTTTGTATGACTGGACTGCGAGTGTGTTTGTTACCGAAATAGACTGGCCGATGCGCTTCAGAGCAGGGGTCTTCACAGGGTTTAAGACACCTGTCAGGCTATTGGACTTTGCCACAGGTTTAACCCTCTTATTGCTGGGCTCCTGAAGTGAACCAAAAAAACATTTTTAAGATCTGCACAAAATAGTCCACAAGCTGTGGTTCATTCATTCAAACCTAACTGTGCACAAGAGGATTTTAAAACAACTGAACACAAATCTGGCATCTGCAGAACACCTCACCTCCGATTCCTTCAGGTCGGACGTCATTTCACACTCATCCTCTCCCTCCTCGTCCTGAAACATGTTAAAAAGTTAAAAATCAACTCGAGGTACACGCGAGTTCAGGAAAGTGGAAAGACAAAGATGGTGAGAGGCGAGATGTTGCATGGTGCAGATCTCTCATTTCCTGTGTGTCTTTCAAAGAGGAAGAAGGTTGAAAGTGTGCCTCTATAGTGAAATTGCAAGATGTCTGCCTATTTCTTTTTGCCACACTAACCACATCAGCTGTGTCTTAATTGCAAGCAACACTTTAATAGCATCAATAAAAAGCCTCGGATTATATGGATGATGTAATGTACAGCTGGCAAAAAAAAAAGAGAATATCTGAAAGGTGAAAATAAACCGAGATAAGCTGGAATTTAAGAAAATGAGACAAACTCCATTTATAGACTTGCAAAAACTTCCATGGTTGCAAACGCAGCGCTCACATCTCCCGTCAGTTCTGCACTCAGCATTGTGGTCACAAAGGTAAGGTTGACTAACTTCCGTTCGTTACAGAGAAACAGAGAAATGAACATGAAGCAGCAGCATCGATGCGTCTAGTCTCTTACTCACCTCTGAGATTCTGATCACAGGTTCAGGGGCCGGGTCTTGTTTTCTCTTCTTCTAAAGACAGCAGTGTATGAAAGTGAGTTTCTTGGACTAGTTTTTAGGACAATAATGAATTTTTTTTAAACGTTAGTTTTTAATGCAGGAAAAAGATGGTGCAAGAACCAAAGCCGATGTGGCAGCTTACCCCTGCATGATCACAGAGGACTGAGTGTCCCTCTGCTGGCACACCGGACCTGAAAAGAAGAAAAGCTCTTACTGGGCACAAATTAAACATTCATACAGGGAACATATCTTATTGTATGATACATTCAAAATGACACTTTATTAAAGTAGGCAGTGTACATTCAAATGACTTGTTTATGTGCCGCGCTCTAGAAAAGTACATTAAAATGAGTTTTGGTTCCACATGTCGTACAAATATGTAAGTTTTGTAATCATGCTGGTGACAAACACAGAAAATTCACACTTAGAACACGAAGTACGATTAATCAACAGGGATATTTTTCAGCACCAATTTGTAACAGAGCAGCCCAAGGTGGAAGCATAATAAATGCAAAAGGTACCGTACCAGGAAGTCCTTTTTTCACCAGTCTCCTCCACTTCCATCGTTTCTCTCTTCAGTGCATCTTTACCAAATCATGACACATTCTCAAAATCACAAATGGTCAAATAATCCAAATTTACACCCGTCTTCTTTGTTTGGGTCCTTTACAGCGAGTTGTTTGCAGGAAGCGTGTTGAGAGTTCAGTGTACTCCTTCCTCCTCACATTCTTCCTCATCTCACAGTCGACCACATCCTTTAGAGTTGCACACATTCATGTATCCGCTCTCGTCAGGGAGGAGCGTTCAAAGCCTTACACAAAACGTATCAAACGTGTATTTAAACTAAGAGCACTTCACACACTAAGGTACCTAACGACATACTTCCTCCTGTGTGGCACAGATTAGCTACAGCCATTTGCCTTTTAAAAAAAATAAAAATTATCCTTTGCCTACATTTATAAATTCAAAACGCCATCACAGACGATTTACTTTAACGCGGAGTAAAAGGGGAAGAAAAAAGAAATCTGATTACTCTCGTCACTGTCATTTGGTATCTTGGTATTCAGGCAGCATTTCCCGGATGTGTTTAATAATGAAACTTCTCATTAACACGAAACAGGTCAGACAGGAAAAACAAACCTCTGACACTTTAACATTGCTGAATGACACTGACTGTGTGTGTGTGTGTGTGTGTGTGTGTGTGTGTGAGAGACACAAAAATAACCACACAGTCTTCTTCAGTATGTTTTTACATCTTTATTCACTATCACACTAAGTGCTCCCGTTTCAAGATACATCTCGTTGCCCTGTTCTTACAGTTAAGTCATTTGGAGTTAACAAAGTAGAAAGACAGTTTAGGATCTACCACGTGTGTGCGCCGAAACTCTGTCCAACCACCCAAAAATAAAATAGAAAATAACAAAACACATAAAATATAATGAGAAAGAGAAAACCAATGTCATGTGCACGAACCCCTCCCAAAGCCACAGAGTGGGTTTAATGAGGGTGTAGGGGTACCTCACACTGGCAGGGGTATTCAGGTGGTGTGAGATAGTCAGATATCCAGTCAGGAAAGGCTTGGGCTTATTGGTGTCTCCTGGGCTGACCTTTTACATATTAATTAGGTGCATATGTTAAGAAAAAACAAAACAAAAGAAACTAATGTGGGACTGTGTCTATGAGACAGAGGTTGGAAGAGGGAGAGAGCAAGTATAGTGGAGGGAAGAAGGTGGATTAGCCTAAAAATCAAACAAAAACCTCCATTACTGCTGAAGGCCAATAAGAGTGATGGTTTTTAGGGACACTGGTTGGGATATGGAGTACCAAGAGACCACTAAGGCTTATCAATTCACTCAAGAGGTTGGTGCTTTTGAGAAACATCAGGATGTCCAGTGTACATGCTCCCTTCCTCCAGTGACACCCCTGTTCCCACAGCCAAGAACCAACTGGATTCTTAACATATACAGTTATTCTTAATTCAGCTTACTGGGGCTATGTACACTCAGGCACAGGTTTACACAAACCACAGGCCTAAAAAAATACTGATTGATCCAATACAGCTGACCTGGATCAACCCACGCACCCCCAATCCCCATTTTAGCTCCTCACTCAGAACACCCCCATCTCCCCCCTGTAACTCCCACCCTCCTGCGGGTGGGCTCAGTGCGGAGCTCAGCGGATGGTGTATCGGACATAGGGCACTTCCACGTCTTCGTCTGAAAGGTCGTTACAGCATAGCTCAAACACCAGGGCTTTCACGTGTTTGCCCAGCTTCTTTTTGGACACCTTCGTCACAATCTCCGTCATACTGCAGGACACAGAAAGAAAACCAGTGAATACAAGCTTTAAAATTCCAGCATGCAAATGAGGAAGCAGGTGTATGCACGTGCACTCACGGTAGGTCCAGTCTCTCTTTAAGTTTGGCAGCAGGCATGAAAAACGAATACAACATGGACACTCCCTGAGAAAGCATGGTGATCTCCAACTTATGCTCATTCTAATACAGAACAGAACAGATCGTGGTTAATTGTATGGCAAGAACATGTCAGTGTGGAGAAAAGCAACCAAAGACCAAACCATGAGCTCAACATACTTTAAAGTAATCCAGAAACTGTCGGAGTGTCATTTCTTCCCCATTGGGCTGCAGTCCTGTGACCTCAAAGCGATCCCACAGCGTCCAGTCGATTTCATAGTACTGCGAAAAAATGTATTTTAAGTATATACATATTTTTTTAAGAGATCTTAATTATAAGCTCAATAAGAAAACCAGTTATTACATTAAAATTTCTCCTCAGCACACACTGATGCCATCAGTGTGAGAAGACAAGTTGAACTCACTTACACCCAGGCAGTGCAAAATGCATCTGACTGGTGCATCAGTATTAGCATGGCTTAATCATCACAGGAGTTTATTATACTGGAGTCAAACATTTCTCTACAGCGCAGACATCGTGCACATCTTTTTAAAATCTCAGCAAATTAACATATTTGCTTACCTTGTGTTTTGGAGCAGCAATGGGTTCAGAGAAGGCAAAGAAAGGCAGGGCCAGGTTCATGAAGCCATTTTTGTAGGACTCCAGCTTCTTGTGTCCTTTGATAATCTTGAAGAGCTCCAAGCACACTAGGCCGACAACTGCTGCTGTGGTAGTGGCGATAGCAGGGATGATCTTACCAGCTATCAGTTTGCTCTGTTTGGTGATTAAAAGGACAGCGATGAAGGAAAAAACCAAACAACAACAAAAACACCCCCAAACTTTATAGTGCACATAGAGAAAAAGCAAAATGTAAATTTCTGAGGTTGAGTTTAAGTTGTTTGTTTCCACAGAGTGCACTCTCAAATGTTTTTTCATTACTATTACAAAACGAATACTATTAGCAGGCACATTTCCCAATTAACACCAGTGTGAGAGCAGCTGGGTCTGTTTTCTTACCTTGTGCCTGTCTGTGGGGGGGATGTCGTAGTTCTCTGCTCTCAGGTTGGAGGCTGCCACAATGAAGTCCATGTGAAAGTTGGTGTCATCATCCTGTTAACATATAGGCCACAGCCATTACAAACCAGAAGTACCAGTAGTGTTGATTCAAGTTATATTAATAGGTTGAAATTCTAGCGTGAGAGTTACAATGTTCTGGCAGTGCACCACTTAAAGGCATCTAAGCAGAGTTAGCCTTGAAAGCTATGGAAACAATACTTTCTTACTCTCATTATTATTAACAGACTAGGTTTCCAATTGGCCTCACTGCAAAGCCAGATGCTGTGTTTTATTGAATCTTTCAGATAAAAAGAACAAAGTCCTCAATGCCACTGACTAGCTTTGCTACTGGCAACTGTAATAAATTAAACAAATGTTATTTATCTTCATTAAAGCTGACAAAAGGAGACGCCTTACCTTTTCAAAGTCAATGGAGGTGAGTTTGAACTGGAAGGACTCTGGTGAAGGCAACATGGCTTTCAGCTCTTCCAGTTTGGTATCATCTGCATAATCACAAGATCAATGGTTGCATTACTGTCAAAGCATCCACAATGACACATGACTCCGTACAAGATTCACAAACAACTCTTAGCTGATGTAACATCCCCCAAAATATGCTTTATTACACAACCACATGTGAACATACCAATAGAGGAATTGTTATTTTGCAGTTCCTGATCAGAGACGTGGATTTTAACTCCTGAACGTGGGGTGAAAGGGGGCACCTTGACATCCTGCAAGATCTTGATCACACCTGCACGATCGGTGCTGCCTTGCAGGCCGTATGTTTGAGCGAACAGGTTGGCTGCTGCCACAACATAGTCCATATGCAGCTCCTGAAAACAAGAACATTCATTAGTTTGAGCCTGGCTGGACTAGACTCGGGTAATATTAAGCTTATAAATGACAGCGGCACACTTACATTGGTAGTGCTGAATTCTAACGGGTGAGGACATCGCTTTGGGCCAGACCAGAAGGGAGCACCGGAACTAGTGAGCTAAAAGACAGATGATGAATGTATAAGTGCTATAATGGAAACCTTTCATGTCCATTTTGTAATTTGTGTGTCAATTGCATATTTATTAAACAGGAAACCGTGGATAAATGACAGGAAAGGGGGTGAGAAACTACAGATGCAAACTAGGGTTTTGTGGTTCAGCGTCAGTACTGCTGACTGAGCCACTAGGCAGCCTTTCGTGCAATAGATACGCAGCAACTCAAACTGCCGTTTGACTCAGCTGAAGTTTAAATGTAATTTCTGCTGTTTCTAATGTATGCCCACCATCTATAAATGGCTTTTCAGGGGAAATGAGATGTACAAACTGGCATGAATAAGTACACAGGAAGCCCCAAACTGTCTTTACACAAGAGTGTAAAGTAGTTTACTTTTATATAAAAGTCTCTTAATCATGACAACGTTTTTGTGACTTACTAAAATCATTTGTCTGCCATCAAACGATTTTAGAAATGTTCAAAACCAATATCACGGTCCGAGTATGGTTTACCATGTTTGTGACAACTTTCATGCTACAAGCTAAAATCTGATTATCAGCTGCTATGCTACTCTGTGCTAACACGTGCTGTAACACACAGCAGCACCTCTCACTAAATTTGGTGTCACTGAGCCGACCTGCACAGAGCTCAACAACAGAAGACAAGAGACAACGTGTGGCCATTGCAGAAGTTACATCTTCATATAATCTGTTGAATAATATTCTAATACTGTATGAAAAATGACAACACTTTTCTTGTTGCTGAAATGAATACCACCAATGCAACTATAGCTGCAAACAGACGCGTAAAACCAAGATCAGACAATAACGGTTAGAAACTGATATTCATCTCGTAGCACCTTCACTTTGTACCTGATCTGGTGGGAAGTTGTGCAGTAGCTGGCGGATGTTGTTGCTGTATTGACACTGCCAGTGGTTGCGAGCCCAAGCTACGCAGTCAGCCCAGTTTTGGGGGCAATCTGTGACAAGACTCTTATAAAGAGCCTCCAGCACCTCCGCAGGCTGAGCTCCTGGAAGCTTCAGAGTACGCTCCATGAACTTAGGATCTCTGCAAGAACAGAAATTATAAACCTCATTGACTAGTTTCGACGATGTGAAGAGCTGTCGTCTTTTTTTAAACCATTTACTCTGCAGGCTGATTTTATGAATTATTTCGAGCATGAGGTTTGGGTTAGATTTTACAAGACAGCTCAATGGCGCCACGAGAACCAAGAGGGGGCTGTGACATTTACAAGATTGATTCTTAGTTGAAAGGCAAGTTGTACAAGTTTATAAGTACTGAATTACCAACAATCCACAAACACTTATGAGACTTAATGAGGAAATTTGTCCACTAATGAAAAGTAACTTTATCAGTGAAGAATTTCTACGATGAAAGGAGCCCAGCATATAGGCAAGTAAAATGCTGACAGGTGATTGCATTAGACAAGGAAAAGCGACATACGTGAGGTACTGCATGGCATTTTCTGGGGGTTGTTTGAATAGTCCCTCAAACTCATCGCGGGCCCACTGCACAGAAAGAACCACAAGGACAGCAGTTCAATAATAGAAGTACGAAATATTTGGTAAACCTACAATAGTTCCATTCACACTGTGACACACTAACCACACACAGTGCTATTAAAAAAACAAAACCCTATATGAAGATATCAAGCATATGAAGAAACCGGTAATGCAATAAAATTCTCTGAAGCATATAGTGCTGAAGTGATTAACTCATCTATTACATGTGTGCATTGTGTAGTTGGTACACCAGGTGGAGCCTTTAAAGTAAAGATTAACACAAAGGTTTCTGTATGGCTGTTCTCAATACTACTTTGTGGGCCACGCTGACTCCAAGCGTCAGATTTGATCCTGCCTGGCCAGTCTCACACTCTGAGACTCTCCGGCTCTGCATATACTAACCTGCAACGTGTGTTCAATGGCATTTGGGAAGTTTTTGAGGGTGCAGATGGGGATGGACTTCTCAGGTGGATCTTGACTGGAGCTGTAGGACTCGGTGAGGAAAGGGATCACAACCTGGACATTGCCTTTGGTACCCAGAGTGCCTGATTCCAGTAAGGGTTTACGATAGTACACACACCTCCGATCCATATACATCCCTGAACATTAGAGGAAAACGCACTTTTTTTACTGAATCCATTTCCCCCTAGTTATTAAGCAGTTATTCTTAATGTCTCATCATCTCTTACGTGCATCAACGTTGTCCAGTGCATTGGCAACTCCATCAAGGCTTTCAAAGAAGTCGTCATCGTAGATCCTCTCTGTGTCAGGGCCCACTCTGTTCTGGTGACCTGTGATCTTGATTGCCGGGTTCATCAGTTTCACTGCAGCAGCAGCCGTGTCACTCTTCATTTTCTGTTAACACACACACACTAAACAGTCAACGCACTAATAACATTATCATAGGTGACCAAAAGAACAAAGATCAGAGGAGACATTCTGTACAGAGGTCACTGCTGTCCACATTAATGCTTTCTTTTCCAGGGACACAACAAAATGTGCACTCCTTTAAAAATATTGGTGTCCAACAGCTTACGTCATGTGAGGGTTCCTCCCATCAGTTTCTTTTGGGCATCAGATAACCTCAGATTAACTGATAGTGCATACTAGCATTTAGTAGTCTAGTGATACTACAGGTACAGCTGCTCTCAAGTCTCAGTTTGTTAGGAGCTGGTAAATTTGCTTTGACTTTTTAAACTTTAAGAAAACACACACACACACACACAGAAGTTTAAATTGCCTCTATCAACATACAAAACATAATCTATAAGTGCACTTCGGTGTTACAGGAAAGCCATAAAGAGTGCTGTGCGGAAACATCGATCAATAGAGTTCATCAAACAAGTCGAGTTAAGATGATACAGACCGTAACGTCCCAAGGTCTGAAGAGGAACTGCCTGTTGAGGTTGGATTTCTCTATGGTGTCCATGTCAGTCACAATGACCTCTCCCTCCCCAGCAGCCAGTCCAATCATGGCAAAGTTTTTCAGCAGCTCACAACCAATGGCACCAGCCCCAACCTGGAAGGATTAGAAATTTGTGAATAAAGCTATAATGGGTCGTCATACAGTTGAACCTTCCATTTACACGTGTCACTCACTGTCAGAGAAATGCTTATGGTTAGTGGGAAAAGCTGACAGCCTTTTTGCCGGATTCCCACCAGAAAGGTTAAACCCAACAGCTCTGACATGCACTGGGACATGGTGGGTGGCACTCAATTAACATGGCAGTGTCGATACACTATTGTGCCAATTATGAGACAAAGAACTAACAGCTGATATATTTTGGCTTAGATGCAGCTGCCACCATCTCACTCACGATCTCAAATAGTAAATAACTGTCCATGAATATCCCAAGAACTGCCAGCGTTCTTTGTCACTGTGCAATTAAATCAAATTATAAATAAACAAAAACAAAAAAAACCTCAACCGAGCATTCAAACAAGAATGAACTTTCTGTTGGACAATTTTAGGCACAAGAGCAAAAAGATAAACACTACCACTAAAGATGTCATAAGAGCCATTTCCCCTAGCATCCTGAGAACAGCACCAAGAAATATTCTTCATCAGACTTTAGCTCATAGTATTTTATAGTGGCATAAAGGTATTTCTAAGTTTTTGTCTTTTGCACAACATTTTTCTGGCAACCTTATTTTTTAAAACTTCCTAGTAACAGGAAATTGAAGAAGGCAACAGAACTTTTACACTGACACTCACCAAGAAGTAACGCTGTTTGGCAAGCAAATCCTGCATTTTGGTGCCAAACACTGCAATCTGTCCATCATATCGACAGTTTTTCTTGGAGAAAAAGACATAACAAATTTAGCACCATCATTTATTGCAACTACATTCAGTACTCGCATTTTGAATATGCTTTGAACACCTACAGGGGCACACTCTTCCTCTGTGAGCATGAATCCCTCCTCTTCAGCCAAGCACTCCAGGGCATCAAAGTACAGCCATTGCATTATGGGCATGAATTTTCCTGTGCATGCCTAAAACATCAAACAGCACATGAAATACAGGAAACCCTTCTCCATTTCAAAACACGTCTAATCATGATTAGATTATTATTATTGATTAAAATAGATTTTTCTTTAATATAACGAACAACTACACTTAATATTGTAGGGACAAAGCTTTCATCTTCAATTTGCATACAGCTTTCCACTGACCTTCATCACTTCCTGTGCAGCCAGCCCTCCAAAGAAGGCATTGACAGGGGCCAGGTCACCAGCAGCAACATATGACATCTTTTTGATAAGAGATTCATTCAGCTGTTCCAGTTTGGCCGACCCAGTCTGAGCAGAGTTCACGTCTTTGGCCAATGCCAATAGCTCTTCACCATCCGCCTGGAATGCACACAGTTCACGGTAAATTACAAAATATTAACTATAAACAGACTTTATTTTTGCTGTGTTGTGCTGCACTTTTTATGCGGAACTATTTTATTTTAGCACAAGCATTTAATCAAAGTGGTTCCCCCTTTCCAAGAAGATCCCACCATCATGAGTGATATGTACCTGGCTCCAAGGTGCTGGAAGATGGCCATGTTTTTTCTGGAAGGCATGGATAGCCTGGAAGCCTAGGTGCATCTGTCCTGGAAACTCCATCTTGGCAAAGTCTGTCATCAGGAACTCAGGCTCGGCCAGCGATGAGGAGAGAGATTTCTGAACAGGGAAAGAAACGCAAGGTAGTGAAGCTGGGCTTTTCCACTGGTGACAGCAATGCCAGATGGTAAGGTTATATTGGTATTACCATGAGAATTCACACTACACCATCTGTGGAAATGAGATCATGCTAGTAATGCCATGTGCAAAACGGCAGCTACTTACAAAACTGATCTTCTTGGGCATTTTAACCTGGGAAACTATTCCTCCTCTGATGTAATCTGTGAAGCCACTCGTGTCACAGATGCTGAAGGTGTATGGACCTAGTAAAATACAGGACATTGCATGAACTTGTAAACTCATAACAGAGTGACCAAAATGTATTCAATGGTGGAACAAAAAAAAAGAAAAGAAAAAGCGTGTGTTCTTACCAAGAACTTTAATTTCGACCGGCTTGCAACCATTGAGCTCAGTCATACCCTGAATCTCAGTAAACGTAACATAATCTCCACTCTCGAAGCCATGACGAGCTTCATCCAGACATGTCACGACCCCTGCACTGTCCTGGGGAAACCAAAATGTGCAACTTTTCAGGCACAGCTGCCATGAAGCTTTAATTTACTCCTAAAAAGCAGGTAGTAGTTAAAAAGAAAAATCAGCATTGTCAGGGGGGATAAAAGAACCAAGACTAACCTTTGTGATCATGGAAATCATAGCACTTAATGGCTGCTCTCCATTGGTGTCATACACAATCATCTCTTCTCCAAAGTCACAGAAAAGTTGACTACAAAAGAGAAATTACAGCACAAAAACATTAGATGCTGACGGATGCACTGCATGTGAACACTAAACAGAGTCTTAATCTTACCCAAACAGACCACGAGTGTCTGCAACAATCAGCTTGATTCCCTTGCTGTGGCAGAACTCTCCTAGAGTCTGCTGCTCATCCAGAGTTGAGTTAGTCAGCACTACCACCTAGATTTCAAAATAAGACAAAATTAAAAACTCTTTCCGAAATGGTAAAATGACTAGGGAGTTTTCTTATGCTAAATTTATACCTGGAACTTGGTCAAGTAGTCTTCAGTCAGTGGTCCAGTGTAACCAGTCACAGGAACATAGCTGTTCAGTTCAGCCAGGCGGGCCTGACTCACTTCTGCCCTGTTCTTGCCCAGGTCCTCCTCCCGAAGGTAAAACTAGCCATACAGAAATACTGATGCTGTCATTAAGCAATAACTGCAAATACTATAGCCAAACATGACATTAAGGAATATTCTAGTGAATAACATTGACTCAGTGTGAACTTTACTTCATTTGTGTTTAGCCATATTCTTCTGTGGGTCCGCCTTTTCTTTTGAAAGGACTTCAGAATGTGTCAACGAGGATAAAAACAACAGACTACCACTTAAACGGCTTGACTGACCACAGTGTACTCCCTGCATTCTCACACTTAAGTCCATAACATTAAAATGGTTATCAAGAGCAGATGAGTTTTATTTGTAGTTATGCTGTTATATTTATGAAAGCTAAGCAGTGATTAGATGAAAAGAGAAGAAATCCCACCCAACTCAGTTTGGAAGTGGACTAACATTATATTGTTACCGGTAAGTGTTCTTGGCTGGTTCATTTGCCCTAAACCAGTTTGGACTGTCAGCCCAGAGAAAACCAAGCAAAGAAACCCAAGTTTAAGGTAAAATGAAATATAGACTAAATGTAAAATTTGGTCTCAAAACTTCAAAGCATTATTTGAGCTCCTGAAGCACATCAACAATAAGTGCTTTCTTAAACTACAGGTTAACCATTTCTTTTTCCATATTTCTGTTATTAGGACCGAATCACATAATTGAAAACACAAATGTACAATGCAAATGCAATACACTTAAGCTGCCCTGTAAATAAATTAGGGGTGTGTCTTATAATATAAGCCACAAGACCAGTGTATCTTTTTAAATGAAAAAATGTCATATCCCAACATCATTCGTATAAAATGACTATGTTCCCAAGCGAGTCTTAAAATCTGTGTCTAACCACGATGACACTTCTGTAGCAACAACACCAGAAAAAATGCCTCAAGTTAACACCCAAGGAATCTGTTCATACATGTTTGCAGTTTGATGAGACATAACAGGATTTAACAGACAAATAAACGCAATCTACTCTGCTGAAATTATGTCCTTTAACAGACTGGCTGTACTACGATTATGAAACTGGGAAGAGGCCACCCACTGGTAAATCTGGGTCAGCTCATGGTTAGCAAGGGTGGGGGTGGCTTTAGTACCCTTTCTGGATGTTAGCAATACACAACAACACATAACTCAATAGATAAAGCCACAGTGCACTTTGGAATCGTGCTCAGACAACAGGCGAGTCCACAAACTGCAATTCCCTTGTGTACCGTATTTTCGCAACTATAAGGCGCACATAAAAGCCTTAGATTTTCTTTAAAAAGTGCAGCGCGCCCTATAGCGCAGTGCGCCCTGTGTGTTGTAAGGAGGACGTAGTAGAGAACACCATGAGAACGTTAAAGGGTGAAGTGTGGGCGTTGATCGTATATACCGGGACAATCGCACATACCTGTATAAAAGAACAGGTATGTGCATTATGCAGGACATCGTTGTTTTAACAACCCTGAAAATGGCAAAGAGACACACTTATGAAGCACAGTTTAAACTGAAGGCCATCAGCTACGCGGAGGAACATGGAAATCGAGCAGCCGCGAGAGAATTTAAGATTAATGAATCGATGGTTCGCAAGTGGAGGAAGCTAGAAAACAAGCTCCGACAGGTCAAGAAGACGCAGCTGAGTTTCCGCGGACATAAGACGAGGTGGCCCGAGTTGGAGGAAAGACTCGAGCGGTGGATCATCGAGCAAAGA